CCGGTCCGCGGACCGGGGGTTGGGGACCACTGACCTAAGGGATATATTGATAGTCTAGACTTTATGACTGATAGCATAAGAATGAATTTGGCAAGAGTCTTTAGAACAGATTTCCATTTATTGAATGAAAGATATCAGTGTTGTCTGCCAGTTCTATATTGGGATTAACACAATTTTAGAGGCCACTGAGAAAGTGGTGTAAAGATAATATAATTTTAGGTGCTACTATAATGCTAGTGTAAAGAACCGCGTTGGTCCAGTGGTTAGAATGCAGTACTCAGATTACTTCTGCTGACTGCTGGCTGTCAGTAGTTTGGCATTTCGATTCTCACCGGCTCAAGGTTGATTCAGCCTTCCATGCTTCTGAGGTGGGTAAAATGAGGACTCTGATTGTTGAGGGCAAAATGCTGACTCTGTAAACCACTTAGAGAAGGTTGTAAAGCACTATGAAGTAGTATATAGGTTAAGTGCTATTGCTATTGTTAAAAATACTATTGCCACTTAAAACAGATGCAACTCTGACAAACTATATTAAACATGTTAGAGTTACAACTGAAACCACATAGGTTTTTCTTAAATGAGGGTAAGAGAACTGAAAAATGAACCCCAGCCATATTTTTTTCAGTTCATTTCTTTTAAAAGATTAAAAGAAAAATTGAATGTTATTTGACTATCCTGAAGCAACCAACCTGAGGTTCTCACCCAGATTTCTGATATCTGACTCATTTTTAAGTTGGTCTGTAATGTAAGAAACTTTATAGAATTCTAGGATGCTGTAATCATTTCATTTTGTACTAATACATTTTGCAGCACCGTGTTCACCTGCCAACATACACAGTCAATCCCAAATTTGCTGAAGTCTTCAATTGCAATTAAGAAGCATTCACCTAGCAATTAAATTTGCTATTTCAAATGGGAAGTAACTAACTATTAATGTACTATTCACCTGGAAAGATGTTGACCGAATTTCTGAGTTTTTAAACAAATTCTATTGATCCAATAGTGTAAGATGATTTTGCAAAAAGCCAATTAGTTAAGCATTTTTTTATTGAGTCTGATGCTAAACAATTCCTCTCAAGGTATCATCACTTTTCAAAGGATGCACCAAATTCTGTAAAAGTCACAATTGCAACTTTTCAAATAGGGAGTCAATTGTTTTCATCCCACATCCTTCAGAACTACATATAATCCAATTTTTCAATCATGAAATGAGTGCACCCATTTCACAGTTTCTCTGAATCATGCAAGGAGCCCACAGTGGGAGAATATATAATGGTTTGGGAGGCAGAACATATATTACATGCAGTCATGCATTCATGATTGAGAATTGGCCTAAGGACTTCCTGGGGGAAATCTGTCGCCGAGGAGGGCTCAACCGAGCTCCTCTCAGAGATCTGGTCTGTATATCTAAATAAGATCATAGATATCACNGGTCAATGGTGTCCCTCTTTACCAATCTGAAAATCTGGTCACCTTTCACTTGAAGCACAAAGTGTATCTTCCTGCCAGCTCTTCCATAATCGTCTTGAGACTGCATGGGACTGCATAGCAAATTTGACGAAGACTACCAGAGACTATTAGCACAGTAATTTAGGATGCCATGAAATCTTAATATGAATGTAAAAAAAAGTAAAACATTGTTCTACATGAGATTCCAAAGCAATCAAAAGGTTAAAAATATCAGTGCTTATACCCTCATATGCAAATAGGATTATATAATGAATTAAAGATAAATGCCTCTGGGTTTATTATTTTTTTAAAGATTAACATGAGATGTGAAAAATATTACCATATGAAAGTTATCAGTACATATCCCCATCCCGAGTGTGCTTGAAGCACAATTGTCTAAAAAACCCCACATGATCACATTGAAGAAAAAAGCATTTATAATTTAAATTAACATAATCAGCACTTGTCCTGGTAAGTATTCAATTTTGCTTTAAACTTCTTTTAATTATTCAAAGGAATGAAGTTAACATGGCAGCAGGGCTTTGTAAAAAGAATAGATACAAATAAGATTATAAAAAGCTCAAAAGTTTAAAAGATTGTGGGGCTTTTTTGTTGCAGTTTTCTCACAAAGTATATCAGTTTCTACTTATCACTTCATTGTGAATAATCGCTGGTCAAAATGGAAAGCATCAACTTTTGAAAATAATATAAAAGGAGTGATTTATTCTATACAGGTCTCAAATTCCAACCAACCATTTTCATTCAGCTTAATAAAGAAGATTTTTTTTAAAGGAAAATGAACATTTTAAATAAATTGTCATGGGGAAGAGGGATGAATGGTTTTTCTTCATACTATTATGAGATTACTGAGAGATTTGCATGCGTGTACAGTTTCTTGTTTTACAATTGTATCTCAGCAGCCTGTGGCATCCTAAGGCTTCTTGCTTTAACATCCACTTGAGATAAAATAATATCAAAATCATGT